CTTTCCCTCCCGCCGGTCTCCGTGTCCTGCGGCACCTCTGCTGCCCGCTGCCGCCCCCCCGGCCCTCGCCCTTTCTGTTCCGCCTGCGTCTTGGCGCCCTTCCCCGCACGCTGGCTCCGCAGGTGCCTTCGCGGGTTGGCTGGTGAGGCGGCCCGCGCGCCGCCCGGCGCACGCCGCGGAAGGAGCGGCAGGGGTTGGTTTTTAACCAGCACGCGGCTTCCCAGGCTGCGGCCGCGCCGTAGACCCGCCTTTTGGGGAGGCCTCCGCCGGCCTTGGTGCTGGGAGAGGCGCTCAGAGGGGACCAGCCTGGGGGGCGGAGCAGAGTGGACAGGGCCGGGCTCGGGGTGCGGGGCTGTCCGGGCAAGCGCCTGCGCGCCTGCCGTGTTTCGCAGCCCAAGGTGGACGCAGGCCACGCCCTGGGTGGTGGAAGGATAATTCATACATCCGGGCATCCTCCCCTCCTCGCACTTTGAAAACCCCACCGTAATTGTGTGCGCTTCATGATTACAGGCCATTAGAGACCATTAGCGAATGAACGGTGAGATTTCCATCGTGAAATGCAAACGCTCTTGTGAAATGCGAACCTAGCCTCACATATTAATTGCCTCTAATTAAGGAGGAACATCTTAACCAATTAGCTGTAGGAATTTACGTGCAATCAGAAGGATAACTCGGAGATTTGCTAATTGCTTCCCCCATGGCAGCTGTTTGCCTTTGGTGCAGACACACCGTCTGTGTGCCCAGGGCGGAGGCCGGAGCTCCCTGGCTGGGCAGCTGTGTGGATAGCGGTCGCCCATACCTTGGACGCTGACATGTAAAACAAACGGGGGCGGCGGTGAGGGCAATAGGAGAGTAAGAACCCCAGGCTGGACGAGGTCCAGGTTCTAAACGGACGGGCTCCTGCGGCGTCGGCTCGCGTCAGGCCCGTCACCTCGCTTCTCCAGATCCCCTGGGTGGCAAAGGTGTCCTACAGCTTCCAGGATTCGTGACAAACGCCAGAGCTTCCTGATAACCTTCCACGACTCCATGTGAGGTGGGAGCTGTACAAGAAAAGAAAAAAGCGTCCATTGAGAGGAGGCCCAGGTGTGCCAGCTGACGCCTTGGCAGCCGTGGTACTCAAGGATTACGGGCTGGCCGCTGCTCCAGCAGCCCATGGGTGTCTTGAAGGAGAAGGTCTCTGTCTCTTGGCCTCCGCTCCTCTTATTTTTCTGCGTACACCTGCATTGTTTCGGTGGGCTCTTCCTGGTGTGGGTGGTACTTTGCCTTCTCCAGCGTCAGCCTCACATTCTGGACACCTGACCACGCCTCCTCGGGGGATGGCTGGTTTTGCCCTCAGCCCACAGCGGAGAGCACCCTGCTCTTCCCTGTTCCTGCCTCATCTCGCTGCTCTTGCTGCAGGAGAGGCTCTCAGCAGAGTCTACCTACCGCTGCTGCTGACTGAACTTGGTAATTACCGAGGTTTTTCTTTTGGCACCTTGACTTGGGCTTAATGCAGCAACCCTCATTATTATATAATAACTTACCAGCCAGAACTTGCTCATCAATTTCTCCTCCATCTACACGATGATTTTCTTTATAAAAATAAAACAGGCTCTTATCCAGCTCCCCACCCCTCCAGAATTCCAGCTGCTGTCCATTGTGTACGAAGACGGCGCTGTTGACGTGGTTCCTGGGCTTGTGCTCGTGTTTTTGGCCTCATTGGTAGCTGACACCTCACACTCCTACACCCTCAGCCTCCAGCCCTGTGGACAGAAGCAGGTGAATAAAGAGAACACTCCAGGAGAAAGGCATGTAAGGGGTCGTCGGCTGACTCTCTGGTTGCCTCTTTTGGGCGGCACTGCTCGCAGGGCAAACACTCCCTAGGAGGTTGGTTCCCTTCACAGCATCTCAGCTGAAAGGCCCTGTTCCCTTGGCCTCATGAAAGGGAACCCCTAAGGAGGGGGCCACAGGCCCCATCCCCAGCACCCTCGGGCTGCCTGTTGTCGTTTCCCGGCAGGGAGCCTGTGCAGAAGGTGGTGCCCAGCATGCCCCCATCACAACAGTGACTAGTTAAAGAGATTCATGTTTAAGGCGTGTTCTCATTAGGTGCAGCCTTCATTAAAAGTAATTAAAACTTGGCAAATATTCTTTTTAGATGATTAATAGGTCATCTCCACCTTTCCTTTTGGGAGGTCAGTTGCCAGTTACCAAAAATGAAACACCTGCTTTTACATCAACGTGGCTGCTGCCCGAAATGCAGCACCACACAGCATTCCTGGAGCTGTTAAATATGCCCGTCGTGCCAAAAAAAATGGGGCCTTGTGTTTACCTAAGTCCTGAATAAATACGGTGGATTTTGGGACACAGATCTGATTAAAAACTTCTCCCTAAGCCAGCATGAGAACTAAGCTAGCTTACTTAGGTATGTGTAATTTATAAAGAATGTAAGAGTAGATGGCTATGATGGTCATTTTGGTGAAATAAAGCTCATTTAAAAGAGTCCCTCAATTTAAATTCCAATGAATATTTTCCACATTCAAATTCAGGAAGCACATGTTCCTCCACCACTTTCTTTTTTTATTAATATGTTTTTATTGATTTCAGAGAGGAAGGGAGACGGAAACGGAAACATCAATAAGGAGAGAGTCATTGATCGGCTGCCTCCTGCGCGCCCCCCACCAGGGATGGAGCCGCAACCCGGGCCTGTGCCCTGACTGGGAGCTGAACCATGGTCTCCTGGCTCATGGGGTGGACGTTCAAACCCTGAGCCAGGACGGCCGGGCCCTCCCTGACTTTGCGTGAACCAGGCAAGCGCTGTGTATGAACTTCACCACTGAAGGGCCCTGGACAGAGGCTGACGGAGGAAGAGGTAGGCAGGTGAGGTTTAGGACGGAAACCCTGCTTAATGTTTTGCCGGAGTCAGTGGCTCAACTGGAGCCCTCTCGGGGGGAAGACAGAAGAGGGTCTTGCCCAGCGTGGACCTCCCTCCTCTGCAGGTTCGGTGCCGAGCCTACACCCTCCGCAGCAGTGGCCGAGCACTGAGGGGAGCTCCTCTCTGGACTCCGATGAGCATGTGCTCTTGTGGAAAGACCACAGAGGAGTTGGGGTCCCTGTTGTTTCCAGATCTAGCCTGCACTGGCCGTGTATCCTGGGTCAAATTATAGAATCACGGCCACAATCAACTGCGAGCAATTTCGGGATTGCCTCTGCTGGCGCATCAGAACCAGGCCAGCTCATGAAAGCAGGTCCCTGGAATTCTGACTCTGTTGGTCTGGGGTGGCCCTGAAGATCCTGCTTTTCTAGCCAGCTCCCCAGGCAGGCCAACGCTGCCCATCCATGGACTCCGGGATACTTAAGCATCATCCGCCTACGGTAACCTTGTCGTAAAATGGTTTGGCAAACTCTTCGAGGGCCAGTTAGTGTTTTAGGCTTTCCAGGCAATATAGTCTTGTCGCAACTACCCAACTCTGACGTTGTAGCCATAGACAATCTGCGTGTGAATGAGCGTCTATCTTCTGGAAAATCTTTACAAAAGCACGAGACCGTGGGCTGCGGTGTGCTGACCCCTCAGCACATGCTTCCAGCAATTTGGGTCTTCCCCACCACTCCTGGCTTCCAGCTGTCGGGTGGGGGTATTCCTGGCTGACCTTCCTCCATGGCTACACTGAGGATACTTATATCATAAGCACTCAAAAAGTGACATTTTGTATCGGGCTCATCAGCTCCATATTGTCAGCCATACTGTAGGTATGATACCTTCATTTATTTTAATAATACTGGATTTGTCTTTATAAACATTCCCTCTAATTATCAGGCATCACATAAAAAGTAAGAATGTTAAAGAGATGACAGAAGGGATCATTTTGAATGGTAATTTAGGAACTTCTTGGTATCAGAAAACAGACACATAGAACCCTTTTTATATCAACAATGCCCCCATGAAGTAGAGCAAAAAGTGAGTATTTCGTGAGGTTGATAAGACGAAACAGCAAAGTTTACACTGGCCCGACACTCACTGCCTTCATAAAACATTTTACTTAAAAAACATTCTATAAACAAAGACATACCAACAAGTTATATTATTTTTTATTCATGTTAGAATTTCTATCAGTGTTTGAACATTAATATTTAGAGAGTTTGTACATTTTTGCCTTCCAAGGTTTAAAATGAGAACCACACTAGGTCACAAATGGTGACTAGTACACATTTCACAATTGCATGAATATCCACTCGATCTCACTCTCTTAACACTGTTAAACATTTCCTTTCTTGCTGTACTTTACAATGAAAAGTGTGCCCCACTCATGTCTCAGCAAAGTTCCAGACATTATGGATTCATCACATATAAATTCTTTAAAAATATACTTCTGTCAAAGACTTGATGACTACTATGTACACTACAAAAATAAATTTTCATATAAATAAATTATATGGCATACTTTTATCTTTGTAATTGAAATGACACAAACCCATTTCCACCAAAATTGGCAGACAATGAGACCCAGTTTGAATATTTATTTCCTTTAAACTCCTTACACTAAAACCTACTATGAGACCTTAATGAAAATGTTATATACTCTGAACTATTTAACATTAGTAAGCACTCTATACAAATAAAAATTCTGTTCAAAAGTAAAACACAGCTGTAATAGTGTTTCCAATAGAAATAAAAATCCCTGCATTTTTTTTTTGTTATAAACTGGCATGACAAATACTGTAGGAAAACATTCTTATGATACAAAATTATAAATATCAGCAAAGATTTCTTTTAAAAAATTAAGACATCCAAATGAACAAACAAGACAGACAAAATAAAACTATTTTAAAAGGAGAGAGAGATTCTAGTTGCCTGCCAGCCCCATGTTCCCCCTTTGCCAATGTGACTAGGGGAGAGTTCTACGCTGTGCAGAGGGCAGGGGCCGGGCAAGCTGTCATGCACCACACGAGTTGGGCTCAGGAAAGGAGCAAGGGCACGCCACGAGCCAGAGGGAAGCAGACCTCGGAATTCGAATCCTCTCTCCTGAACGCAGGACATCTACGTTTTCTGAGCAGAGCTGGGTGTTAGGTAGACAGTGTGGCTACGGAGGCACCAAACAGTAGCAGAGGGGCCGGTGGGGCCCCGGCATATTATCACACCTGGCGCCCACAGGTGGCTTCCAAGTAGCATCTTACAGTTCTGTTATGCGGTTAGGGTCTGAGGTCACTGCACTGCTGGGGGCCCCCACTGCCTTTCCATGTAAAACGGGAGGGCGCGGCGGGAGCTGCCATTTGTGCGCTCGCTCCTGTAGTAGCTCAGCCTGGGAGCCACGTGCCTCCTCGACACGCTGCTCTCTGGCAAAGAGCTGAGGAAGACCAAGCCTCAGCGCAAGACGACAGAATCGATACAGAAGCAAATCTTTAAAAGTAATGCCTGGTTGAGAAATCTGCCTCCATACCCATTCTTCAGCAGAGTGTGCGCCCCACGTATCCTCCTGCTGGTCGATAAATGTCACATTGAAAGACCACTAACAATGCGAGAGTAAGAAACAACTTACTTAGGAAGTGTGCACCATAACGTTAACATAAACACACCGAGAAGGATCCTTCTAAAGCTCGTATCCTACAGAACGTCTGACCCCGTATCACCTTATCAAATGCTCGCTATTTATTTTTAAAGATGCAAACAGATCCAGAAAGCCCCAACCCACTGTGCAATTTAGGAGGAAAGGGAATTTAAATGGTAGAGACTCAAAACATCACCTCTAGGTTTACTGTGGGTCCAGAATGAACAGGTTTTTCTACCTTTAGCAGGGGCATTAACTCAAAAACATTTTTAATCCACTTACATTTTCCCCTGTGTGTGTGTGTGTGTGTGTGTGTGTGTGTGTGTGTGTGTGTGTCTGTGTCTCATGAGAGGTACCATGAAGGCTGCAGAGAACGCTCATGCCCGGCTGAGGCTCACCACTAGGCATGCTCTCCAGTTCTTGAACTATAATGACGGTGAACAGATGTCAGCCCTAGACCCCGAGGTTCCCACGTGCACCACAAAGATCCGTGTGAAGGAACTTAGCTCCTCTGAGGCTCGAGCTGGGGTGTCTGGATGGCAGCAATGATCTTAAGAGATGCCCTCGACTTGAAGTGAGTCTGGCAAAAGCGTAAGGTGATGTTTAGGGCAGGGCTAGCCCCCCGCCAGCACTAGGCAATAAAGGTATCTTGACTCTCCCAGCCTGACTAGGGCAGAGCCCACTAAAGGTTACAGACAGTGAAAGAAACAAAAAAAGGAAAAAAAAAAAAAATCACAGTACAGTACATTGGGAAATCACACACATGTTCACACACAGCCAAACAGGAGTATCGCATCCAACTACACCTAGAAGCCACCGGGGTTAACGTGCTTTCTTCATATCTGCTCATTAAACAATAACAAAATTATCACGCATAGCGTGTTTGAAAGTTAACAGTAACATTTCATACTACCACAGGGTTGTGATATGCAAATTTAAAATATTTTAAACAGAAACCTTTACAAAATAATCCTATTATATAAGCAATATTTGCATAGAATTATACAGGTAAATTATACAATATTTAAGCAGCAGCAACATATGCTGGAATTTAAGACTAAGTTAAGCTTGGTTGTGGCACCGAGACCAATGTACAAACAGGGTGGGGCCTTGCCACAGCTGCCCCGCCACCCACCCCGGGCCGGGAGTGGAGAAGCCCCAGACCACACTACTTTACACCATCCCTACACCATCCCTTCGTATTTACAGATGTGTACACCTCTTAAATATTTATAGAAATATTTCACAAAATAATACAATCGGTTACAGTAACAGGAACTGCAATCCTGGTGCAGTCATCGCTCTAACTCCAAGCAGTTCTCTTCGAGCGGTTCTGGGGGTCGGGGATTCCAATCTTTGGCCTCTGCTTCAGATTTTACTCACCCTTTAAAAGAAAAAAAGGGAAGTCAAACTAAGTAACAGGTCCATGAGCCCATATTTTCGAAACACACTAACAGGCAGAGGGAATGTATGCATGAGAAATAAGGATGGTGGGGGCGTGGTGAGGGCAGGCGGGGTCTCTAGGGGCTGAGCAGGATCCTTGCCTTGACCTAGAGACTGGTGACATGGGTGTGTTCACTTTGTACCCACTCACTGAGCTGTACGTTTATCGTACATGCCTGTAGGGCACTTTAATAAAGATTGAAAAGTAGGTGAAAGGTGCAGCTAGCTGTTGGCATCTTTAAAGTAGCTCTAACCCTCAACAGGCTAACGGTGTGGGAGGGACCCAATTTGGGACAAGACTGATTCCCCAATGATGACAGAGCTTAGACATGGCAGCCTTGCCTTGGGGATCAGAGGTCACTCGTGTTCGGTTTGGGACATACTGATGCCAGGGGGCTCCAAGCCCCAGAAACCCCAAGGAGCTTTGCTCTGTGTCCCTCGGGTCACACACCTCAGTTGGAGCCGCTGCCCCGGGGCCTTTCCTCACATTCGACGTCCTGCAGCTCAATGACCTCCACCTTGGAATCCCTCCTCTCGCACCGGACGTTAAAAGGCACATGGGGGTCCTCGAACAGCCCGGGGTCCGTCTGGGGGTAGTCCTCATAGCCGGGGCACAGTCCTCCTCGGGGGTTCCGCCCGGCCCCAGGGATGGGTGGGGGGTGCACAGCAACAGTCACAGATGCCGAGGCCGTCACAGTGGTGATGGGCTGGCAGTAGCTGGGCATGGAGCTGCCCATGGCAGTGAACACTGGGTGCCGAGGGTGGTGAGAGCGGGCTCCCCGGGGGCCCACACGGTCCCTATTGCTAGGGCCAGAATGCCCTTCAGTAGAAATTTCGAAAGCGTCTCTGCGCGGTCTGTAGGGGGGCGGCCGCAGGCCTTCCCTGGCAGGTTCCCTCTGGGGCTGCTGGCCTGGCCGTCCGGGTGGCAGGGACCCTGAGTCCGGGTGGGGCTGCTGTCGAGAGTTCGAGGGCGGGTGATGTCTGGCTTCTGGATGGACCACCTGCAGAGGGTGAGGGCAGGTTAAAGCAGGCTGGGTGCTAACCCCAGGGTGGGCATCACCCCCGCCACTCCCAGCCCTCCCTTATTGGCTCCAGTTCCCGCCTGGCCACCCACACACAGCTCTTCTTAACCAAGAGCTCAATCGACCCCACAAACGGCTGGGAGAGGCCCTGGGAGCCAACAGGGGCTCCACTCACAAAAGAAAAACCCGTTCTCTTAAAACCTCCACGACGTGGCGGAGGAGGGCCTTATTTGGGCCCTTTGTCTAGGTTTTCACCAACATAGCTGGCTGGGCACATGGCTGCTGCCCATAAATGCAGGGCTGTGGTTGGAGAGGATCAGAGCTGCCTCCCCCCACAGTCCAGCACCCCTGCTGCTCAGGAGGGTCAGCTCCTGAGCTCCTCTCCTCAAACTGCTGAGCACCCGGCCCTGGCTCAGCCAGATGCCAGACGCTGGCACGAACCGTCTATGCCTCTGCTGTTGAATACGGTAGCCATTAGGGACATATAAATATTTACATTTAAATTAACTAAAATTCAAAATTCATCTTCTCGGCCTCGCTCGCCACACTGCAAGCGCTCGCCAGCCACACGTGGCTCCAGACAGCATCTGCACCGCTGCAGAGTTCTACGGGGCAGCGCTGCTCCCTCTGGCTGTTAGGAATCTGGTTTCTGGGTCTCTATACAAAGAGTGGAGCAACACAGTGGCCACATCAATCAAAAGGACCGTGACCAACTTCAAAGTCGTTCAGCTTGTACCTATTTTTAGGCTCCCGCTGAACAAAACCAGATTCACAATGCAGCTCGGCAGGCATCACCCCGGGAGGTAAGCGGAGGAAAATTTAGGTTATTTGGTTGCTCCCTCTCTCTTTCATGGAAGGCCCGCTCCGGCTGGGGGCTGGAATACCCATTTCCTGGAGGGACAGCAGGAGGCCCTGGGCTGGGGGAATCTGAGCCTTAGAACCTTGCTTGGGTTTTGTGTGCTGTGCTCTAGGACTGGGGAGCAACATGAGGAGAGGGCGCATCTGGGGCCTTGGGCAGGGGCTGCCAAGCTCGGGCCTTTCCTGAATGACCGAACGGCTAAACTCCTCAGCCACCTAGAACACAGACCTGGAGCCACAAAGGCTTCTGGCAAAGTCTTAGACAATAATAATGGAAATAATTTTGTACCAAGGGCAACTAAAGGTAATAAAAATGAGAGAATATTATCACTTCTGCTAGCAATAAAATCCCGCTCCACTTTAAAAAGTATTATTCTAAAATGATATGCAGCTTTAAAAAAAAAAAAAGAAGAGGCAGGGTCTGCTTTACCTCTGGCCCTTCAGCTCAAACTGTGCCGAGGGCGAGGCCGAAGAAGTGTGCCACGGCCGTGTGCTTCCTGTTACTGGCTCTGCCCTTTGTGACCCACGTAAGATCCCACTATACGAAACTGATACTTGTATAGTTAAAGAAGTCAAATACTGGCCATTCCACATGATTCACCCAACCTCTACTTTGCTTCCACGTCCTGGCTGGCAGAAGTGCCGCCCAGAGCAGGGAGGGGCTGCCCCCGAGGCTGACTTACTGTGGAGCGGGCGAAGACAGGGTTTTCTGTGGCTTCCACAATCACTTGGTGGGCAGGGCCCCGGGTGCCCTGCTGGGCCTCGTACTGCCGAAGCTCCTCGCTGATGCCCGACACGGTCGTTTGAGAACTGTACTCTGAGTCAGAGGAATCAGACCCGTTGTTCGCATGACTGGGGGGCACCGCAAAGCGGACCACGCTGGGGGGCGGCTCAGGGGAAGGGGTGGGCAGCCGGTTCAGCCCGCTGGCTGGAGATACCTGTTTAAGAGGATTCCATATTAAAAGTGCGATCATCCATTTACCTGTTGGCCACACTTAAAGTTCAAAGAACAGTATTGTTCAGGGGTCTCTGCCCTCCCCGCACCACAAGCTGTATTCCCCTCCCCCTCTGCCACCCGAGGGGGACGCAGAAGCCTGACAGCTGGAGGAAAGAACTGCCCTCTGCTCTCACCCTGGAGAGGCAGGCGGGCCCTTTACACTCTTGTTCGAGCCCCATATTTATCTTGAGTGGAAACTGCTTCATTGGTACAGACCTCTAGGACTGAGGCTGACGATCACTTGGTTTAAAAAAACAAAATAAAGAACCAGGACTACAGCCCCAAAACTATTACACTGAAGAGAAAAAAGTGATAGTGATCGAGATGTTTACTGAAAAAGTAAATCATCAGGAATGCAAATACACCTAAAATATCTAAATTAAGAGTGACACCAGGAAAAACAGCATTCAGGAGGCCTGTGGCCTGCACACTCCACCCGGCCCCGTTGCTGACCTCAGGATATGGTCCGAAGAAGGACAACAGGACTGGAAGCAAAACCAGCCCGTTGAGGACACCCAGGATTGTCAGGATGGCCAGGACAGCAAAGAAATACCTTGAAGACAAAAGGGAAACAGAAACATTCACTGTGGCAAAAATAAATTAAGCTACCATTCACGTGCCCAAATATTAGTGTGTCATAAGCCAAAAATTAGCAAGACCCATGCCGGTGAAAAGGCTGTTACAAAACTGAGGTTCAAATACAGCACAGGATTAGATTTTTTTTTTACCGTATGATTTTGAGGGCTGCCATTGCACAACCCAAAGTGTTCGTTCATGAAGGGAGGAAAAAATTAGTTTGTTAATTTGCTGAAATCGCATGGCATGTAATGTTATTTATGGATATATTACACAAACATAAAAATATGGAATGTGAACTGAATGGCTGAGCAGACTGAAAGCACAAATACAATGCAGAGGGATCCCGTCCATGAAAACCCAGTAGAAGCAAACGAATGAAGTGAAGGGTGTAGAATTTAAACAATTTAGCCCAGGAGGAAAAGCAGCCCACTTGTGCAGCAGCTAATCCACTGTGAAATGCCTCTGCATCCTGGAGCGGAATCTCCACGACTCCAGCGAGCAGGTAAGGCTTTCCCTGGGCTTTCATTAATCACGGCTTTCTGTCTAGAATTCAGTGAGTTCCAGTTTAACCAAACAGCTCCAACTGCAACCTTTTTGAGATCACAGGAACCAGCTTTCTGCAAAGAGAATGCTGCCCATTCTGTGGTTGCTGGGGCATCTGTGGGGGAGGGGAGGGCGGGCCACAGGGATGGGGCTGCTCTGTGGCCACTCTTTTGTTGAACAATTTAGCATCTCTGAATGCTCTTGTTTTGCGTCAGCCAATTCAAACATAAAGGCTGCAGCAGCCTGAAGAAGAGGGGAGCATACAAGTGGCCTTGCTTTCCCACAACCGAGGGCTAAGGCCTGGGATCGTTCATGAATATCAAGGTAAACCTGTCAGCCAGGGACGGACACCCCCACACGGGGAGGGGCAGGCGCCACGAAAGCCTGTGTTTCTGTAACTAATGATTTCTAGGGCGATTTTTCTGGGTTGGGGGGAGAGCCCAGGATGTTCTGGGACAAGGGAGGGCAAGTATCTCTCTGTTAATGGTCCTCTTGATCATAAAACAGAACAGGCACCAAACTCTGCCTTTTCTATATATGTTTCGACATTAGATGAAAGGAGAGAGAATCCCTATAAAAATACAAATACCTCGCAGCTATTGTAAACACTAGAGGCTTCTGAGCTGCATTAGTAAAAGCCGAGCAGCCGGCGTCCGGCTCTCATGTAAACTGCGGGAGCTTTAGGCAGAGCACACATCAGCAGCAGCCTTAAGACATTTGCATCCCATCCATCTAACTGCAGAATAAACAGACCCATTGGATTTCTGACGCTTAGTGTACACAACGTCTGCTCATCTAGTCGACCCCAGCGAGGGCTTTATCAGGTTAACCCATCCAGTTCTAGAAAGGGGGAAGCCCTTTTAAGTGCTTGAAACAAGAACTCTGCTCTCTCTGGGAGAGAAGCAGCCAGGGTTCGAGGAGAGAACTGGGATTCTGCCCTCCACCCAGGGTCCCAGCTGGCTGCTCGGATTCAGGCTAAGTTTCCTCTGCGTGGCTCACTTGACATCCCTCATAAGACAGTTAGATCCTCTGAAATCCTGCCATACCCTGCGTTTCCTGGGGTTTTGAATTGCTTGTGAACTCGTCTCTCCCGTAAGTTACATGGAGGGAGACAGGGTCCACATTACTTGCTGTTGTGTGAAATGGCACTTATGAGGTGCCAAATAAGGAATCACACAAGTGAAATTCTTTTGACATAGGGCTTTTTTTTATCATAAACAATGACTAAAGCCTGAATAAATAAATGCATGCGAAGAAAATAAAGGAAAAGTCAACTTCAGAGCTTAAAACAAAACCCAGACCAAAACCTTATTTTAGTTTAGGCATATATCTGTCCGGTATCAGCAAACAAGAATGTACTGATTGGCTTGTTAAACTAGATCAACAGTCTGTGTTGCCGACACCAGCAGCATGGGCATCACCTGGGAGCTGGCTGGAAATGCAGTCTTCCCACCATCCCACCCCCAGCGAAATCCGATCTGCGTTTACAGAGAGCCTCGGCCTAGTCCTAAGCACATCAGTTTGAGAAGTGCGGTCTGCACTGTAATGGCTATTTCACCTCTTCACTCACCCTGCACCAAAATGACAGTGAGCAACCGTCTGGCTCTCCCTCTAGGAAGGCCAACACTCCAAGATGCTGAACCGCCCGATGGGATGGGTATGCCCCATACCAGTGGGTTGATGTTTTTTCCATAATAAACTGGCTAAAACCGAAAACTCTTTTCTTTGTACTTGAAAACGAAAGGTCTATCAAAGACACACACACAAACGGAAAAGCCTGTTTGGATTCTCTCTCCAGATTCCTGAAGCATGGAAAACAATCCAGCCATTTCTCACATTTGGTTCTACTCCTGGATCACTGTTTATTTACTGATACTCCTGCCTTCCTTCCTCTCCACCGAGCAAAAGTGTCACCTCCACAAACAGCTGCTTCACAGAGTAGCAGAGGCTGTTCAGACAAGTAAATGGTCTTGCCCTGCTGTTCTCAAATTCTTTGCAAAAGAAAAACTTGCTTTCCTTTTATTACTTCACAAAGTCACATTCTCCATTAAATTCACCAGAAACTCCTGGCCTTGAGATCCAAAGAGAAGTATCCAAGCTAGGCTTGGATTTCCAAAACTTGACACCAACGTCGCATGTTAAACGTGTCCTCAATCTTAGTGGAAACTTGAATCTGAAATCTGAGCACATTCTCTTCACTTCTTAAATGAATAAAATCTAGGTGACAATTTTAGGTATTTGTACATTTTCCTTGATACTTGAAGGAGAAGTGAAGGTCAAATTCAGTCAATTGCTGGGAACCACAGTCATCTGTTTCTGTATGTTTCTAACCTGGACTACCAATAAATGGAGTACTGGGTGATCTTTCGGCCTGAAGCTGTGGAGCTGCTAGCCCCAAACCCTCCATCTTTTCTCCCCCAGGATGGCCCTAGTGGAGAGCTTGTCTTTATACCTCTCGGCATATCTCTGAGCTAATAAACTCAAAAGGAAGTGGAGTCACAGATTGTGTTGTAATCAAAATGTGCTGTATACCTTAAATATATGTGGTTTTTGTCAACTTATACCTCAATAAAGATGGGGGGAAGTGAGGCACAGTGAAGAAGAAATGCTGTAATCTACCACACACAGAAGGAAATAAGCTACAGAGCTCACATGAGCAAGTAATAACAATCTTTAAAACTTGCCTTCTCTCTTACTCCTGCTTACCTGACGATGAAATCAAACTCTGATCCTGCAAGCATCAGCACTCCCAGCAGAGTGGAAACAGCCCCGTCGAGCACGGGCGCAAACATGTGCTCCAGGGCGAGCACGGCCCTGCGGTTCTTATCGCCAATGGCTGTGAGAAAGGCCTGTGCAACAAGAAGAGGGAAGGCGATCAGAGTCCCAGACTTGACTTGGTCAGTGGTCAGCTTCGTCTTAAATTCTGCAAGCTGCTGCAGCCTGCCTTTACAGAGCCTCTCAGGTCCTCCTGTTCAGCTCTTGGGATGTTTAATCGGGGTTACTCAACTAGCTAAATCTGAGTTTACATTAAAATGACCTGTTCATGATATTGGGTCATATTTGGTGTTGATGTAAATCTTGAATAATAACAAAGAAAGACTGAAAGCATATTTACCTGAAATTAAAAACCAAACCAAAACTATACAAAAATGAGCCAAATGCTCCTTGTTTACTGCTGAGCCAAACTCCCTTTGGTTGAGTTTTCTCCCCCAACCAAATTCTCTCACACCATTCGCAGGGGAGATACCCAGTTGCAAAAAGTGACAGCATTTAGCCTGATTTTTGGATGGTCATGATCTTAATTCTGAATGGGCTTAACTCTGTGTCACATGCAACCAGGTGCTAAATACTTCCTCACAATTCTGCTGAGGTTAGAATTTTGTCCCAGTGTTCATACTAATGTGCCTGTAGTACATCTAAACACCACGGAGGCATCACAAGAAAAACACAGGATTGTAAACTCGAATTAATCCTGTTCTGGCCACATGTGGACATCTCTCTCTCCTCTCTGTATTCTCCAAAGCTCTCCTAGATCAGGAATGCTGTTTCACGAAAAGGCAATTTTACAAAGTCCCAGCGTATCAGACTGTTAGCTTCAGATGGCTGGCCTGAGTGTATGTCCCAGGACTGATTAAATGTGGGTCAGTTCTTGTCACACCCTGCCTGGCCCTACAGAGGGAGCCCAACAGGATAGACTGGGCCGGGAACAAGTCCTCTCCTCCCCTGAAAGTTCAAGCTGTTCTCGGATGTGCTGAGAAGAGAGGCTAGGAGGCTCTGAGGGCTGCGGCTCCTTACAAACCCAGGCCTACACCACACTGCAGGGTGCGCATGGCTGTCGGTCACTCACCCTGTGCAGGGACAGGAAGGAAACTTTCCTTCATGATTCAAGAAACAAAAGTGCACCACGGTGTGCTATGAGTCTTCATGCTCCTCTCCTACATGGGTTCTACACAGGCATAGTCAGGAGACTTCAGGGCCCACCTACTGCCTTTTTCTCTTGGGAGGAAAGACTGAGTTGCCTGGACCCTGTGACTTTGTGCTGTCACTGGACCATGAGGCCATAAGGGTCAGGTTGGTTTAGCCTCTCACAGTCAATGTCTGACCCCGAATAGTGAAGGGACAGGAACCCAGAGTCCTTGGAGACATCCACGGAAGAAGAAAGCGCTTCACCAGCAGCAGTAACTGCCCACTTTAAAGAGACGTCCACACGCAGGATGGGGCAAGAACGCCGTGCCCTATGTGTAGACAGTCTCTTGATGGAGACCTGGGTGCAAAGCAGGGGCTTCTGCTCACAAAGCCCAGGTGGCTCTTGATACTCCTTGAATTCTCGGCATTAAATCTCGAGTGAGCAGCAGAGACATTCCTTCCCTGTGTACTCAACTCTGGTCTGGGTGCTCGTGCTCATGCCACCTCCTGGCAGAGACCTGGCTGCCCCGGGCATGAAGCCTGAGGCACACATTTCCATCCAAGACCCTGTTAGGATAGATCTGCCCATGTTTGCAGGGCAAGCTCCCAAAATCTCATCCACATCAGAATAAAATGCCCTGTGAATTCTCAGTTCACATGCAATGTTTTCTCCATTTGGAAGAAATGGTGTTAGAATTGTGTGTTTCTAAGCTCTAGGCTGTTGGGCCCTTCTCTCCCTCCTCCCAGTTGAGTGGAGACAGTGACTTGGGCAGGCTCAAAATTTAAAGAATACAGTTTCTGAATTATCAGCTTTTTTCACTATATATGGAGATAAAAATCGGGTCAACTTGACAAAACAAACCTTCTAAACCACACAAGCACACACTCTTTTAAGATGCATGAAAGTGGCCCTGAGCGACTCCTGCGGAGGACTGCGGCAGGTACAGGGTGGAGGCAGGTGCACAGACATGCATGTGCCGTGTGCTGAGCCCAGAGAACGTCAATGCTGGAGATCACAAAAGCAAAGCTCAAAGTAATTAAATCAAACCCAATGCTTGGGGTCCTTGCTAGAGTATTCCAAACACCGGTCTGTATTCAGTCAGTGAATAGTCACCATGAATGCGGCTGACCAAAAGCCCAAGGACCCAGGCTGCAGGCACCATACACAGAGAACATAACCTCCGTACTGCTATGAGGCTCCTGAATAATTCTCCCATACACAGACTATGGGCTTGTCTCTTGGGTTTAAGACTCCTCCTGAAGTTTAATTTCCTCCAACAAAGCATTCATAGGACTGAGCATAGGAAGAGAAGGGACTTCCTGTGGGGAGTAACAATAGTTCTCGAACTGGAGGCTGGGAGGTGAAGGAGCTGGGCAGGTTCTGGTGGAGAGCAGCTCCTCCTCGCTGAGCACCGGCCTTCCCACTCGCCTTGCCCTCATGCCATCCCCACTGAGCCTCTAAGTGTGGTCTCATTTGATCCNGTCCCTCACGGGCCTGGGGTGTCTCTGCAGCTGCCCACTCGCCCTGCCCTCATGCCATCCCCACTGAGCCTCTAAGTGTGGTCTCATTTGATCCCTGCTTTATTACTGTGGTTTTTAACACTGTGTGTAGTCGTGTACACACACTCATACACACACACGATCTGTCCTATGCACACAGTCGACAACTTCAGGACAGGTGGTGACACCAGTGATACCACCAAATAAACAGGATCCTTCCCGGCTCCTCAAACACTCTCCGACACTGCCTGTGGCTGGCTGGCCCAGCGCAAGTCCGCCTTCGCAGACCTTGCCTTAGATTCCCTGAGCGGGAAAGGCGGCCAGCCAAGTCCCGCCCCTCCTAGGGAATGCCGGTGCCAGCCTGGAGCCTGCCCGAACTGTGTGTATGGGCGTGTTCCTTGGTGTAGGAGAAAATGAAGAGGTGCCCAGCTTGGAGACGACGAGAGTGAGAGGGAAGCGCCGCTTTTTCAGGCAGCGGCAGCGGGCAGGGGCCCCCGTACCAGAGCAACGTGCACGGTGAATTCCACGCCGATGCCGACAGATGCGATCAGGATAACCACAGGCACGGCGCTCAGCTTGATTCCGATGAGGCCCATCATGCCGAAGAGCTCGACCGTCATCAAAGCCAGGACCGTCACCTGTTAGAAGGCACAGGGATGAGTGGCTGGGCACAGACTCACTCCAGGCGTAGAAAACAGGGAGAGGTTCAAGTCCCGATGTGGCCCCACTTCAGACCAACAGCGGAGACAAAGACCTGGCACCCAAATACAGCGAAGGCACTGACCTGCAGCAGCTTCCGGCAGCTGTCTACCTTGTAACTCAACAGCTCCCTGCTGGGAAGGGAGACTCTGAGACACTCTGGGGACAGCAGGAAGGCATTACGGCAAAGCTTAGTATGCTACTGCTGCAAATTGTTTTTCCGATATACCTGCTCTAGAAAGCATACCATTTTCAAAACTCCACCAGAGCAATCTATGAAGATTTGCGCAAATAAGAATTCAACACTAGCTACAAATATAATTTAAAACAAGGCATTTCCCTCTGTTTTGATCTTAACCATGCTTCGACCTTGGAACCAAGTTGATACTTTAGTTTTCGGTTGCCTCGCCCTCCATCCTAAAGAATGCAGACAGTATGGGGTGAATGAAAGTTCTTTCACCTAAAAGGAGCTGTGCTTTTGTCTGGAGCCAGGGGACTAAGTGAGGATGACTTGGGAGCAAGTTAAGCAGGAGAAGAGACTTGTTGACCGCCGATGCGGGTCAGGTTACAGCCCCCTTCACTTTGAAAAAACGTGGAGCAACTGGGGTGGACAAAGCCAACAGTTAAATCCAAGGAAAAGCTTTTATTTGCCTTTCATCTGCCTTGTAAAAATTTGCGAGGAGATGGAAAGAAAATCTGTGAGGGAGATTTTGGAGTTTCTTGGGCCAAAGGGGAGAAAATACCAATAAAACAATAAACTTTACAATGGAGGGAAGAGGGGAGAAAAAGCCTCCCTTCTCGGGGGTGGGGCAGCAGGCAGTGGTGATAGGGGAAGGGTAAGTACAATGAAAGTCGCCTTTGCTTTCTTTCAATAAGCTAATGAAAGACGGACAACGTCAATTGCTTAAGGACCACGAAAAGCCCTACAGACTAAACATTTACCTTTTAACATACCTGCTGCACAGACTTACTGTGCAGAAATGAGACCTGGTCTCTTGTTTTTATAATTTTGGCATTTTGAAGTCTGTACCACAGCTCATGGAATTTAAACACTGCCGTGATTTTACTAGGCTCTACATAAAACTTTCTTCAAATCTGAGCGTATTATACATGGAGAAAGGATGCCAAAAAATAGGTGAGCGATACTCATTTACCATTTTTCCCTACGAGTTAAAATACACACACCACATAAAAACCACTCTATTCCTGTGCCACTGTCCTACCTTCTCTAACTGTCCTTCCATTTAGCAGAACCGTCCCTGCATTAGGTCTGAAATTATCCCCAAATGGCACTTGAGTTAAAAAAACTCAGTTATGTTTTGAGTGTTTGTATTTCATAGGTGCTCGGAGCTGTTATGGAAAGTGTGCTTAAATAAAGTTTAAAGCTGTAGGCAAAGGGGCCACAGGAGTGAGGCCATTAAAGGCTCTACCTAACCATGAACCTCGCCACCTCTGGCAGAATAAATATAGTATGGATGATGCAATCTCTACCCTCCTCCAGAGGCCCAGACATAAACAAAACTGCCCGGCTGCAGCAAGAGCTATGCTGAAAGGAATCTGACTTCCACAAAGACCCTTAGAATAAACTCACAATGATCCCGGCCGTCCAGGGGTTCAGGAGGAAGACGGCGCACACAAGGAACGTGCAGGCCAGCACCACGCTGATGGACAGCAGGAGCCAGTGGCGGAGGCCGATGTACTGCTCCCAGAAGAGGAAGGGGTAGCCATTGGGGTAGCTGGAGAGCCCCAGGCTCGTGTAGTTGTTGCAGATGGTCCTGACTTTTTCAATCGCTTCCACGAAGTCTGAGGTGTCATGCAAGCCGTTGAGGTAGAAAGGAAACTGAGCGTACTCGATGGGCTCTGCTGCTGGGACTGGACAGAGAAGGCGAAAGGGAGAGAGCCGTGAGCCGTGGGTAAGGGGCTCCTGGCAATACTGTGAAAGGCAAATGGCTGTGCTCCAGGCATGGACGAGACATGACAGATTCCCACTGTTGGCCATAACAGATGTGTGTCCCCAAATTCTCCGTGATTACAACTCTGTGAGAAAGCCCACGTACTGTTTCTTTCAATGTCAAGGACAAACAGTACCAATGATAGCCTTCAGCTCTTTAGAATTTTAGTGCTTGGTTAAGAAATTTTAAAGCAATAACCAACCTTTGATTGTTTTTTGGGGGAGCCAGTGATCTGCGTATTTACTTAATCTTTGATTTCAGTGTTGTAGAAGCAGTCGCTTTTGTAATGGGTCTAAGCAACTTAAGAATTCAACTGCGGGACCATTTTTTTGTTCGACTGACACAAGTGAAAATACTAAGTTCAAACTGTTTCACTCAATCACTTATGAGAACAAAATAACCCGAAAGTCATGCTTTACAGAGAAAAATGCTTAACTTTCTTATCCTTTTAGTGCCCTAACACACTTGAGCCTCCATGCTTCCTTTTAATGCAACGCTAAGTCTTCGGCAGCAGGCGAAGAAATCCTCACACAACAAGCATTTAGTGACTGCCGTTGTGTGTTCCAGACCCTTCGGGGTCATTCAGTTGACTTGCTAAACATGATTTGCCCTATTATAATCTCAACTATAAATTTTCATTAAGACAAGCCTTGGCCGCTTGCCACAGGCTCTGGGGTTTAGACACCGGGACGCACAACCCGCCTGCTCTCCAGTCGCCCTTGCAAAGGAACCTGTCTTCTTTCTCCCGTCCTCGCTCCGCTTCATATCCGGGGCGCACGCTACTAATATCTCCAACATAAATGCAAATTAAACCCGTGCGGGGCCACCTTTCGAAGTCGGAGCGGAGAGGTGAGAGGAGGAAGACAGGCTCTTCCGCTGCGGTTTAAACAGCTTTGACAGAGCACAGGTGCTTGGTGGCTCGCAGCAATGGCCCGACTTGCCAAAAATCCCTTCAACACCAGAGTTGACAAAGTTAAGATAAACATATAATCCCCAGTGATAAAACTCTGCAATAGTAAAATAACACTCAACCTGGAGGCGTCCCCGGCTTTCACAGGGAACAGCTGGCAGTGAAGAGCTGTGCCTGGGGGACGTCTTAGAGTTAAAGCTACACACGGAGATTAGAGACCTATTTCTCAACGTGATAGAGCACGGGCTGTATTCTATTACACACCCTCATCTGTCTCCTCGAGTTTTAAAGTAAAAGAAATAGATTGTTCTGCTTGCACTTTTGAACCCTGGGCAGCAGAGGACGAGGGCTGTGCCTGAACTTGGAGGAGCAGGGTAAGGCGGCTCCACAAGCCGCAGGCCCCGGGGGGGGCTACTTACTTCTCAGCCTGGTTTCCGGCATGTAGTCGGCCTTGTCGTGGACCCACTCAGGACGGTGAGGCCGGATGTTGGCCTGGGAGGCGGCGTAAGCCACGGGGTCGTTGCTGACCCATGCGGTCAGGTAGATGTAGAAAGCACTGGGGTTGATGATGCCGTCCGCATCCACCAGGCGCCGCTTCGTCAACTGCACAACGGGAGGAACAGAGCCTTTCGGGAGGAGCTCGAGGGAGAGGACAGGCAGAGCCCTGCACAAGCATCTGCGACAAAGGCTCGAACGCCCAGTTTGCAAGGGTAAAAAAACCCCATCGGAACACCGTGGGTTTCTTTCAAAATGCACTGAACAGAGGATGCAAAGCCCGGAGTGTTTATAACACACACACAGTCCTGCAGATGGCCTGGGAATCAACCGAACCAATTAAGTCTGAATGCTAAAAGACTGTCTGCAGCCAAGGCGGAGAATGAACAATCTGGAGAAACATATTTATAGGAGGGGAAGGGGGGAAACCTGGCAAGAATCCCTATACACGTCTGTGCGCAGTTAACCTCTGCTGTTAACACTGAAGGAAATGCCACCCAGTAAATGGAGGAGAGCTATAAAAATACAACAACATCTGTATAAATTTTGCTAACACTAGCCTCCTATGACCTGTGTATTCAAAAAGTGCCCATCGTCAGAAAGTGGAGGGGCCTGGCGCACAGCCGCGGTCTCTCTGGGGAATCTTGTTTCTGAGAGGTGGTCACAAGGAGGGTCCACAGCCTGTGCTGGCCAAATGCTGCGCTCCTCGCAAGTGGGTCTGCAGGGCTTCCCTCAGGTGAAAAACACTGAGAGATATGTATGCATACACACACACACACACACACACACATACACGCACACGTATATTTGTTTCCTGTTTACTTTAGATTCAGGCCTGGTCCCAATGCTTTCGGTCTTTTTTTAACAAAATGAAAAACCCCAGCGACAGCAGTTAACAGAGAAGGAGTGAAGGAAGAGCGTGGAGGAGAGCGAGAGAACTAAATTTCAGAGATCTGGATTCAATTAATCCACAGGATATGTAACAACTGTATGTCTTCAAGCCGTCTCTGGAATTACATCGAGCCGTTCACGGCCTCCGTGCCCGCGGCGCCCTTTTTCTCCCTCCCAGGCAGAAGAAATGATGTCTGCGTGTGTGAACGGGGGGTGGGGTGGAGGCAATCACTTTTGTCCCATTGTGTCCCTGGTCTCTAAAGCCCTACCCAGCCACCGGGCATTCCCACTATCTCTCAGACAGGCTCCTGTGCCCACATCCTTGTCAAACCTGACAGCATGCTGCATGCAGCCATAAAGAACCGAGTTCACACTCCATAATAAGTCTGAACAATGTACTTTGTAAATCTGTCACCTTTAATGCCAGCAAAAAAGGGGAGACAATAAACAGAGCTGCTGGGAAGATCATTAGCATGACGGTTTTCTGCCTGAAGGTGAAGCCAGTAAGCTACAAAGAGCAGAGGAAACAGATCTGGGAAAGCCAGTAGTAGTGCTGGAGTCATTTGAAATCTGAAGGGTCCAAACACACTCCCCAACACGCCTGAGGAACCAAACGGGATATGCTGGCCCTGGCCAATTTGGCTCAGTGGTTAGAGCGTCGGCCCACGGACTGAAGGGTCCTGGGTTCGATCCTGGCCAAGGGCACGTACCTGGGTTGCAGGTTCAATCCCTGGCCCATTCGGGGTATGTGTGGGAGGCAACCAATTGATGTGTCTCTATTACATTGATGTTTCTCTCTCTCTGGAGAAGCAATGGAAAAAATATCCTTGGGCGAAGAGTAACATAAATGAAAAATAAACACATAATAAAGTCACAGAGAAGGCACAAATACAGTTGGACTAAGAGGAGTGAGTCTGATTATTTTCCAAGGATTTGCATTTCCATATGTCTTGCTCAGGACAGAGCAATCTGTCCTACTTCTCAACGCCTAGAGCCAGGTGACCCAAGGGAATCGGATGCAGCAGATCCTCCCATCCTTCCAGTAACCTCTCTAATCTCCTAACCATCCATCCACCCCAATTTCTGCCCATCCAAGTGACTGCTACCCAACCACTTCAGCCTTTCAAATTGGAATACAATCAGGACCAACGAGGTAACAAATATTAGAATTCAAAGCAAACAGTACAACATAGCACTTCTAACATCGAAAAGAGCCTGCACTGCCTCGACTATACTTTGTTCTCACAACTGCTCTGTAGGCAGGTAATACACTTGTCCCCACTTGACAGATGAGCAAAGTGAGGCTCTCTGGCTGGCCTGTGGCCACACAACTAGCTGGTGCGATGAACACCTTAGAGCCAACTCAATGTTCTTCTAGCTCCTGGTGCCTCGTGTCTCCAGAAAGCAAGGCTGGGATAGCAGGTGTGAACCCACCTGACTGATGTCGATGGGCTTATCGCGGCTGCCGGTCTGCACCAGGAGTTTATAGGCAAGGACCCCATCATCTGATCCATTTTTGTAATTGTTCGGCATGATTCTCCCAGTTTCCCAGTCACTGTCGAATGCATCCTGAAGTCCTGGAAAAGGCAAGTGTGTGTAATAGGTTAGAACTCTTCGGCGAACGACCGTGGTCCTGACAGGGCGCTGAGGACGGAGAGCAGGACAGGCCGGGGTGGACATCAACCCAGGACATCCTGCGTTCTCCTTGTGTCTGACTTCAAGTTCACAGGTATTATTAGAGTTTTCATGAGTGAACTTCCGGTTGCTAATAAACATTGCTTTAATGGTGAAAGGGGAAATATTCATTTCTAAAAAATAAATATACATATTTTACCTTTAAAAATAGTGACTCCTTTTCCTCCATGATTATTTGAAAAGAAAGCCAGAGAGGACAGAGAGCGAGCCCGAGGAAGGCACAGCGGGCGCATTAACCATTTCATGCCACTGTCTGGGCTGAGCCCCGGGTTCTTCAATACAACCAGAAATTCCACGGGGAGGGGGAGCCGCGCATTCGGACTCCCAGCTTCAAACAGCAACTCAGCTGCTCCGAGCTCAGGGTGAGTGAACACGATTCTGTCAATTTGTTCCATCTGTTCGACTTGTGGAGCTAATACAAGCTGTGGGATCGGCTGCCAGGTTGTGTAAAGATCACAGCCAACACCTATTCACTCTCCACTGCTCTCTTCCTCTTTGCCACCCTTCCTCGGGAGAGGGGGTGTGGGGCAGGGAGGAGGCAGGGAGCCGGCGCGCGTGTGTGTGCAGGGAAATACCTCACAGGGTAAATTTGGATCAGATTGAGAACAGGAAGCCACAGGCCAATACAAGGGGGCTCTGTGAGAACAGATGACAAACCGCAAGCCCAGGGAGGGGAAGGAAAGAGCGGCCTGGGCCTGGGGGATGGGCGAGCCCACCAGCCCACCACACACAGCTGCGCTTGGCCTCTGTAATCAAAACCATCATTACAGACCTGACGGTCTGGCTACAGCTGTAAAGAGATAAGCGTGTTGGAAGAGAAAACAGGGCCCTGGTGACCCGGCCTGGGGTCTGGGCCATCCCGGTGTGCACACACTCTCCTCTGACACCCCCACCCCCTTTCCATTTCCCTGCTCCCCCCAAATCACCTCCCAAGTAGAGCTCCAAGCCCCAGCAGCGCAGGAAACCACATCTTTTGAACACGCTGTACGTGCACGGGTTAGACGGAGCCAGTAAGAAGAAGGGTCTATTTCAGTTCACAACACGCTCTGAGCGGCTTCAAAGACACCCCCCAAAAAGGGGGCTCCATTAGTGACCAAAATGGTTAAGCTCCTGGGGTTTGAAGTGGGGGGAGGGGGAGCGCAGGACCCTGCCTCAGTCTGTCTCTCTTTAACTACACCTTCCTTCCGACATTGCTGTGGGCGTTGTTTTTACACGAACAGCTTGGGATGGGACCGTGGGCTCAGTGGTGACAGAGGCCCCGTTAGCGGCGAGGATGGAGGAGTGGCCGGCAGCGGGACCACGGCGGCAGGCTCCCAACGCTCACACACACTGTTTTTCATGGCAAGGCACACAGGCAACCTGTACTGAGCAGATGTTATTTTATTACCTAAAGCCTTTTTTTCTGGTTTTGAAGAAAGTAAACAGGAAAGGAAAAACAACCCCACGCTTCCCCCCTAGAAAGAGGTCTGATCTGTTTTCCTCACCATAACAGAACTGTCACCCCTTTAACCCACTCCCCCTTGACCTATTAATCCTAATTTAATGCCTGCAACAACCTCATGAGATGGCCCCATTAGTACCACTTCATAGATGAGGAAACTGAGGCTTGGGAAGGGAAAACTACTTGAGAAAGGCCACCAGCAGGGAAGTGTTGGAGCTAAGCTTTGGACCCAGCAGCCTGATTCCAGAGTTGGCCTGAACCATGGATGCTCTAAATTGCCCCGAATACACTGTGGTGCCAGGAAGGATGTGCTGAAAACACAAACAAGATCAGCAGAGTTAACGTGGGCGCCAACGTCTGGTGGAGAGCGGGTATCAAAACTAAGTGTAGCTCAAAGATACTCATGCACGAAGAATCCTGGGACACCCTAGAGGGAAGCAAAGGAGGAAAAACCTGATTTGGGGAGGTCCACCCTGCTGGCAACTCAGTTCAACTCATCAGCCATGCTGCTGGCCCCCACCTGGCATCCACTCCACTTGGGATAGAGAGATGGACAAGAAACAGTCACTGACTTTACAGGAAAGTCAGGTCCTTATAATTAGTATGTTATTTTCTGACTAATTACCAAAAGCTCAAGTAACAGTGGTTGGCCTAAGTGCACCCACAATCCATGATTCTGGACACAAAACAAAAAACACTTGTTTCCACTGCCCCTTGGACATTTTACATCCATGTAAAGTTTACTTTACATGAAAAGTTTTAGCTGAAACTGTTCTCATTTTAAATATTTTGTACTGATTACTTCCTGGTGAAAGTTCTGAGCTAATGATCCCAATTGCCGATTTTTCTTTGATATGGGACTCTACAAAGAAAACATTAATTTAAGTTTTATTTGTATAATTCAGTGTGAAGTATCAACAAACACCATTTGTATATGATGCACACTGCGATTTTTATCTCCATCTTCTTTGCATGAATGTTTAAAGATGGCACATGGGACAATTTCTGCATTGCTATTTTATATTTTTATGAATTCACCTTTCCCCAACTTGAAATATTGATAAAGACCAGTGGGATGACATGGTTTTCAATGATGATTCCATTAACAACCAATGAGGGTTCCATCACTTAACCACACAAAATGTTTGGAAGGAAAGCTGATTCAAGGATACCTCTTACTTGCAGGAACTGTTCAAAGACCAAATCAACCACCCGAAAGGCCTGAGGTACCTCTAGGGAGCCAACGGGCCTGTAGCTGACCGTTCTGTATACAGGACTCAGCTGGACACCCTGATAGTCGGATGCAGTTAGTTCTAAGGTTCCCTGGGACCCCGACTTGGGGGCATTAAATGGATCTCACGGGGTCTAGGTGGGTGCGGCTCACTTAGCAATCAAAACATGATTCAAATGCACTTTTAGAAAAGATTCTCAAGTCCCACTGCTTTAGGTCTTTAAAGGTATGAAAGAACAGAAATCATTTACAATACGCTATAAAAAGGTTATCCCTCTGCCCTGCCTGGAGACAATACCTCCGCCCCTTCCCAAACTCGACCTAACATGCCACATTGAGCACCCGAAGGAACAGCCGGAGACACTGAAATCAATTCTACAACACTCTTCCTTGACCAGATACTGGCAGCCACTGCAGATCTCTTTGTCCTCTGCGGTTATTTGCGTGTCTTTGGCCAATGGGAGGTGGGGGAAATGAAAAGCAGGGAAGCCTTCAACTGTCTTGGTCCTGTTTTGACTCATTAACCAAAAATCAGCCCTTCCCAAACTACTGTGGAAAATGGGACTAGAAACAAGCTCAAATTAATCTCAAGAGCATGTAAAAAAATATTAATGTCATGTAGTTTTCTCTGCCTTCCTCAAAAAAAGAGGTCAACTCTGGTATACATGTAATGAACAAAATTCTAGGAACACAAGTCAAAGCCAGAAACCGTACTGAACCATTTTCAACTAAACTCAAGTTGTTTAGCATTTCATGCAAACTCAGGGGGAAACTGGCTGCTTACTCTTTACATACAAGTATACTGACTAAAAACCAAAAAAGGCACTTAAATCTGTGTTTAAACACATCTAATTAAGTGGGAAATGAAGACAATCATTTGGATAATTTAAGCCAAAAAGTGTTGGAGGCCATAATTATTTGGGTATTTCAGTAACAGCATTTTTGCTTGAATTGTGTGGATAATTATCCTGATTCTCCACCTCACTTTCCATGTGTCAACACAGAATAAATGAACAGATGTTCTTGGAATCACTGAATACATTCATTCACATTCAGTCAGCAGTTAGGAGCAAATTTAGATCTTTTTTCCCTCCAGTTGACAACTATTTCCTAGAGATGTTTCTAAGAACAAGGTAAGAAGCTATAAAAGGCATGTTAAAGCAGAATTTGATTCTTTATGAAATACTGTGAGATGTGATTAAGTGTTTATTTATAAGTTTACTTCATGGCATTTTATGCTAAATCAAAAGATGGTCAAAATATAGAACTTTAAATTATATTCACCAAGGACGCAAAATCTCTGGTGTAGTAAGCTATAATTTGGCAGGGAGTCAGCCTAGAAGTTCCATCAACACTCTGTTTTCACTTGGTCACCCAAATGACCCCCCCCCCCC